TTTTTTTTAATTGAAGGACAAAATGTGATTTAAAACAAAACAAAATAAAAAATATTTGACAAAGTGCAAAGAAAGAACAAATGAGGTAGCTGGGAATAGGGGCTTTCCCCCCAGGACAAGGCGCCAGGCTTCCAGCCACAGTGACACACACGAGGGACTGGGCTACCCCTGATCTACCTGCAGCTTTGCTTACAGGTGTTCAGGTGATCTCTGACCTGCTGGCATCAGTTTTACAAGCTCCATGAAAAGTCATTTGATTGTGTATTAAGCACTGTCCCCACACACACTGATGTGCAGAGATGTGCAAAAGCCACAGGGAGCAAGTTGGTGTGGCCACCCTCTGACCCACAGGAGTTGTGCTCCCAGGCCCATGGGCACAGGCTGTGTGTTCAGAGGGAGAGTGAAAGCAAAATCCTGTTAATAACAGCAAAAGAGAAAACACCTGAGGCCAGAGGAAACATCGTGCATGGAACACCCAGGACCTGCCCCTGATGGGCTTTGGGGGTCCAAACAGTGAGGGCAGTCAGTGGTGGCAATTCCATGAGTTCTGTACCAAACCCAGCCTCCTGCCCCATCTGACACTCACAGCAAGGCTTGTGCAGTGTAAGGAGAGTCTTGTTCTGAACCTTCTCCACCCCTCAGCACTGTAAAGGAGCTTTCAGGAGCCCCCCAGAACACAGCTTGCTGTTTACATCATGTAACCAAGATAGGACAGAACACTCACCATGCATTGCAAAATGCAGTCTCAGACCCTTAAATACAAACATGTTTCAATTGCAAGAAGCAAACCACTCAGGTTTTGGAAGTCAAGGATTTAAAAAAAAAAAAAAAAAAAAAAAAAAAAAAGCTTAAAATTGACTTAGCAGGTGTTTCCCCAAGCAAACAAAAGCTAGAACAGACTTCATGTTCTCTAAGCAACCCAAAGGAGGCAGGAGTCCTTTGGACTAGTTTAAGACCAGCTCTGAAAGGGTTTGAAAGTATTTCTTAAGAGGGCAATCCCTGGCTTCCCCTCAGAAAGAAACTATAGCAAGAGCTTTACAGAATGTCAGCTGTGTTTACCTTGATCACCTCAGCAGATACCCCTGTGCACTGCTTTATTCACTCTAATAAATAAGCAGGCTTTGCTTTTTAAGGCCTAAAACCAGAGAAAGAAGTGACAGGGATGATAATGCTTTCCTGCTATCATGTGTAAATTCATAAAGCAGATTAATAAAACCCAAAGCTTTTGCATGTGAGGTTGTTCAGGAGAGATCCTCTAGCCCAACCAAGGATCAGGTTTTTGTAGCATGCTACCTATTGCAGATGGAAATTTCAACTTTCCAAAATGGCTTTTGCGTTCATCAGGTACAAATTTGTTCCTCAGGGGGTTTTTTCTGTTCTGAAATTGGCAGCCCAATAACAGAATGCACAGAAATGACACTTGTGAAACAAGTGCACAGCCGGTGGCAGGAGGTCGGTCAGGCTCTGACAGGTTTTAGAACTACAGATGAAAGAAACTTGCCCTCGACAAAAACTGAGGTTGTCTCAGCATTAACTCAAAAGAAATGGAGGAAAGTCAAATTTGAAAAAAATTAAATAAGTGCCTAAGGTGGTAATTAAAAAAACCCCAGTATTAAAAAAAATAAATTCATGTTTTATCAATAAAATAACACTAATTACACACGGGATTCTTCTTTCTATTGTTGTAATCAGACCTGTCAGCCTTTACCAGGGCTCAGAACAGCCTCATTTCATTATGCAAATTCAAGGGCACAGGTAGGCAGTGGCATTGAGCAGCTTCATGTACTGAAGTGCTCTGGCAGGTGCACTCTGCTCACAGAAACCCCGCAAAACTGCTGGACATCAAGATTTAACCTTTTTCCATTGAAAAGCTCAAATCTTCCAGCTCACTTTTCAAGACACTTCAATAGATTATTTCAAATAACCTCCAAATATTATTCTATACAAGTCCTTTATGTCTTGCAAATACTTTTATAACTAAAAAGCAGCTACCTAGAATAAGTAATTTTAAAAAACATTACTCAGATTTTGTATCACCAATAATTTTTCAATATACTCATCTATTGGTAATAGCTCATAGTTTAATTCTTTTGTTACCCTTAATCCTTTTGACCAGGTGTTTATCTAGCTGAATGGCTTTAGTTTATGTTTTTAGGTGAACTTATTAATCAAAATTTTTCGAGAATTGATTGCTGGAGCACAGCAGCAGTGTCATACTGGGCATGGCTGGTCAGAGGTGTCACCTTAAACCCTGGCTGCAATCCTTCCTACAGCAAGGAATTTCCCAGCGGAAAAAAAAAAAAAAAAAAGGAAAAAGAAAAAAAAACCCCACAGGGATGAAGGAGAGCAGGTGCCAAACTTATTAATAAACTTCAGAGCACACAGAGGTGACCCCCAGAGAAAATGAGCAGTGTCCCCCAAACCCCACTGCCTTTAGCTTTTACTGGCTCACCTTCCCAAGCCCTGTGCTTTTCTCTCACAGACCATGTGCCCTGGAAACACAGCTCCAAGAAAAAACAAGGAAGAGCATCAGAAAATGGCAAATGTCAAAAGGCTGCAGCAGTGACGACTGAAACACAGGCCTGTACTCAGTCCTGAACGGGAAAAGGAAATACTCCTTTGGGAAGATGGAAATAGCAGCTTCTACAAACACGGATGCAATTAACACCCCTCCCACCCACCTGAAGTAGCCATTTAAGTACTCCAAAGAGCTAAAGAGAACACAACCCCCAAATCCTCAGTGCTAAATTAGAGGCAGAAAGGATCCATTTAACACTAAATTAAATATAATTCCTTGGAAAGCATTGCTGTGAGTGGCACCAAACCACACCTTAGTTACAATGCTCAGTCTGCCTGTGTCCCTGGGCACAGCCACATTTCCCGAGGCACAGTTTCATTCTGCAGGTCAATAAATGCAAACAAATTGCACTTAATCTAAACAGTTATAATTTTAAATACTAAAGCCTGTTGTCAGCTGCCTTTTATTATATACTTGCATGGCACCAGTGCTCTAGTAAAGAGCAAAGTGTCCATATGCATCACATGGAGTGATACTCAAGGCAGCTGTGAAGAGTAACACAAACCTGCAGAACAGTATTTAAAAAAAGAAGATTTACATTGCTTTCAATAGCATTCATTTAAAAAAAAAAAAAAAAAGAACCACTGCTCTTTTTTGGAACACAGTGAATTTTAAGCATATCTGTATTTTAGTAGAACAGTTGAATTATTGTTATACACAGAAGAACCCAAAAGTTTGGCACTTGTAACAATTTGGATTTGTTATTGCATCCTCCACTCTGCATGGCACATGCATGGCAGCAGAGCCCCTGCACAGCATTTATGGAACAAACAGAGAAACTGCAGTTAAAACAGGGGAAAACCTCCCCAGACCCCTCAGTCCTGTACTTGTGGATTTACTGAGTCATGCAGGCACCAGAAATATTGCAAAACAACCAAGCTGCCTGGTGTGTTCTGGAGGGGGAGTTCATAAGCCAGGCGGTTCAGTAGCTCTGATAAAAACCTTATTTTCATCAAGATCTCTGCTCCTGAAGGCAGGCTGTGTGCCAGGCACGTGCTGTGCAAACACCAGGGACACAGCTTGCCCACAGCTATCAGTTTGCTGATTTTCAGCTTCTGGTTTCAGAATCACTTCTGTCCTTTTGTGTAATTTTGTATTAATTTGCCTTCAATTTAAAGATGAAGTACCCTCAAAGCTACAGAAATTCGCTTGACCAGAAGCAGCTGGGCTGACACAGCACCTTCACAATACTAAAATTTAAGGATTAGCTGACAAAATATTTAAGGACAACTAGACCTTGCTATGGTACAACAAAACGGAAGACTCTTCAGGATGCCTCTTCTTCAAGTTATAAAACCAGCAAGGGAGAGGATCTGAAATTCAACCCTGACTCTTTAGGAATATGAGCATCTGTCAAGGCCAGGTAAGGAACAGAGCCAGGCCAGGCATGTTCCTCCCTCAGAAACTCAAGGGATTTATTTTATGAGAGCAAAAGCACTTTACACCTCTGCTTCTGTAATCTCTGTCTGCTGTGCAGAGCAACCACAAGGCTACAAGTGTAAAACAAGCACAGAGGACACTGCTGTGTGCTTACAGTAGCATATATTTTTTCCCCACTTTTCCCCTAAAATTGACAATTCCAAAATTTTTCCAAAATTATCTGTGGCACTTGAAAAAAAGGAAGAAACTTTTCTTGGGGGAATTGTGGAAAGGGATGGAGAAAGGGGAGAAAAAAGCCACTGCTCGTCCCATCTTCCACAATTCCTACCCTGTATTTGGTGATTTTCTGATTTCAGTAGCTGGGGTTGGTCCAATTCCTCACCAGGGAAAGGAAAACAGATGCAGAGGCCCAGCCCAAGTGCCTCAAGCTCAAGGTGGCCCAGCCAGTTCTCATCCTGCATGGACAGCTGGCCAGGACACACATTCAAACAGTCACCTGTGGAGGACCTGGCTGAATGTCAGTGCCAACGCATGACCTGGGAGGAATTAAGGCCACTGTGCTTAGCAAGGACAACTTAAACAAGTTTCTAAACTGCCAAACCACTTAAAACCCCCAGACTGCAACTCAGAAAAACTCCTGAGTTGTTTCCCATGGGGCTCAGCCATCATGTGCAGGGGTACACAGTGCCAGGAGAGCAGGGACAGCTGAGTGGTGGCATTTACCAGGGAAGCCAGTTCAATCTACAGCTGTTTGCACAGTCAACACTCAGCAAACTGGTGACCTCCCTGCTCTCAGCACCTCTGGTACTGTCACAGCCTCCCTCCCCTTCTGAAGTCAACCACCCCTTGGAAAAGAGAAAGAGAAGTCAGAGGTGAGCTCTGCCTCTTCACTCCTACACCACCACTGGTACAATCCCTGCAGAAAGAGGAGCCTCGGCTTCAGAGCCTCGCTCCAAATTCAGAGGGAAATGGAACCTGGTTATTGCACAATCCAAGGGACAGTTCAGAGCTGGACAGACAGACAGACAGACAGGAAGACACATCCCTTCCCTCCTGCACATACAGAGGCTAGAACAGCTCTTGGATCAGTCCCACAAACAGTGCAGATGGGGAATGGTCCCATTCCCTTAGGCAAGGCCAAGGAAGCCAGTTTTGAGATCTCAGGAGTGCCTAAATCTGAGCACACGCCCAAAACCCCTGGAGAGCATCCCTGGAGACTTGGTCCCCAGCCACATGGAAAATGACACGAGTACAACGTGCTCAGGAATTCAATTTGTGACTGGTTCAGGTACAGAGGCTTAAACTTCTTGGTCAAATCTCACTGAGTGCATTCGCAACACGCTCAAATCACCAGCAGATTTGTTTGTTTTATTTATGTTTTCTTTAAAAAAAAAAACACGCTAAGAACACCTAGTGTTAATCCTACTCTAAGTGTAAACATTTGGTTCAGTAACTTGAACTGCAAAACACTGCTAGAGTATTTACTTGGATTTATCACGTGCATTTATCACTTACGTTTTCTGGATGCTGAATGCCCTCAGTGTACTGGGAAGCTACAGGGACTCGGGAGATAGCAGCTGGCAATATTCTGAATAACATTTTCGGAAGTTTTCCAAGCCACTTAGAAAACTGAGCTCAAAGTGAAACAGATACTTAGGAACATTCATCACTTTTGAATATGGGATCTTGGCACTTTGTCTGAGGAAAAAAAAATTGATCCATGTAAGATTTTTCAAAAAAGGGAAGTTTAACAGATAAACTAACAGCACTTGATTTATTTCACGAGCCAGCCAAGGATGGAAATAGTGGTTCACATTTCTGTAGTAAAGCATTATATATAAATTTAAAATCTAAAGACATATATATATATACACACACCAAGTTTACTGCAATGCATAAATATATAAACTTTTTAATATGCCAGCTAATATAGGTCAGAAAATCAATGTATATAGTTCAAGTTTTGCAGCACTTCAGCATTATAAAAATAAAAATAAAAAAAGGTCAATGGATTGGCTGCTGCCCTTTTCCCCACCCTCCCATACTCCTCTGCTGAGGAATCAGTCATTCCAACCCCACATCAGTGCTATGGAAGGACTGAGCAGAAAGAAATTTCAGAATGGCTCTTCAAGGACTATTTAGTGAAATACCAATATTTTGAACTAGTTTGGGATGATATTTCAACGTATGTAAGATGATTTCAATAAAGATGAAGAAGGTTTACACTAACACAACTGAGGGCAGAGTTTGGCTTATGTGAGGTCCACAGAGTTGCAGAGTGGAAAGTCTTGTATGTAGTTGTAATACTGGTTGTACAAAGTCTCTTTTTCTGAAGGGCAGGAGGTATTATTTCTATTTTCAGTCTCTCCCATTTTATTCCTTTTAAATAAATACAGGTTATGTCCCACCCATCACAATAACAAAGAAATCAAAAATTGAGGTAAAACTGTTCTACCAGCTGATCTTGACTACAAACAAAAGTCAATTAAATATCACTACTGATGTGAACAAGGCTTTGTAAGAAATAAAATGCAAGATACTAAGTTCTTCACTATAACCACACCATAAAACCCAGCTTTCAGACAGCAGTAAACAAGACTGTACTGTAGCACAGAAATCATTAGTAAACCAACTTTTGATCCCAATTTAAAGTCACTGTACAAATTTTCCTTAACTCTTAGTCCAAACCCCATGTTTTTTGCAAAATAAATATATCGTTGTCATATTTCACCTTTGTTCTAAGAGACATAAAATACACCTTTCTACAATCCTCAGTCTTAAAAACCATTCTTAGCTTGCAAGCAATATGAAGTAAAAAGGAACACAATCTATTTAGTTTGTCCTTTTGCTCTTACCAAAAGCAGCAATCATCACTAACTGTTCCAAACATGTCTTCCCTTTTCACTTCAAGGAAAACAGCCACCAAAGCCCACCCAAAAGCACACACCACCCACCTGCAGACCAGTTCATCAGGCTACTCGAATGACAGCGTAGGAAAAAACTGTTTACTTCTTTGTGGTGTACTGTATCCATTTTCCGGGGTGTATCCATTTCAGATTAGTCCATTTTATATATATTAAAAATATTTGTCAGAATGAAACCATTGCAAATGAATGAAAAACCGTATGTACACACCTCCACCATTTTTTAGGCACAGACCTTATCTTTTGAGAAAGGACTAGAAATAAAAGGTGCAACGACCAACACCCCCTGTGGCCTCATGCTCCAACAGCAGCACACCAGGGAGGTTGGTTATCGTGTAGCTTCTGTGTATTACAGCTATCCAGTTCCAGATAGCACATGGATTCGTATCAGTTCCCCGCAGGGGAAACGCACCTGAAAGCTCTTTTTTTTTTTGCTTTTCAATAAGCTTCGCCAAAGGAAACTGATTCCCAACAGTTTCACACACAAAATCCTCCTTCAATAACAAGGTTTAAACTCCAAATAGTTATGACTGAAGGTGTTTCCTTGATCTCCCCTTTTATTTTCCTCCTTCTCTCCTCTTTAATGTGTACTTAAGTTATTTGTTCCCGAAACAAGTACTGAGACTCAAGCTTTGTAAGCATTTAAAACAAAAACAGTTACCATACCAAAGCACAGCATACAGTGTAATTTTCAGCTGTAATTTCTCAGCTTTTCCTTTAAATAGAGCTAGATTATGGTGGACTGCACAGAACCCTTCCAGTCTCGTCCCCTGGCAGCACACGGGTCACGGCGAAGGTACGCGGATGCGGAACAATCCCTGCTGCAGCTGCAGCCGGAAGAGTTTGCAGTTGGCGATCCGCAGCGCTGCGCAGCCCGTCCGGCGCAGGTCCGAGGGGAACAGCGGCTTGGTGCGCTGCCAGGTGCCCGTGCTTCTCTTAAATTCCCTAACATAGTCATAGTTTGTACCTGAATTAATGAAAAAAAGAGATGAAATGCTTAAAATTCACTGCAGCTTAACCACGTTTAACCTCTAGTAAGGCAAATATGTGAACGGGAGCAGACACACGAACACAAATCGGTATTTGGGTGGGTGGTTTGAAACTGTTGTCAAAAAGGAACTACTGTGACATTTCTGATCTACTTAAACCCGAAAAATTTGGAATTTTGTTTGCTTGTATTTTGAAGAAAGCCCTGCTACACAATCATATACGTACACATGGTCACAAAAGTCTTCCAAATCTCTTTTACAGAGCGTGGCCAGATGCTGGCAGCTGTGAACTGAGTATGTTTGATAGCACACATCTATTTAGTTGGGATTGAGAGCCAAGAGTCACTATCACATCCTTGTGAACCACTAGACAATGTCCCTAGAATGCAGAATTGCCTGTTTCCCACTGCAAAGATAGGAGCTACAACCTCAGGCACTAACAGGTCTTCTTACATTTAGATAAAAGCAGTAACACACTCTTAGTCTTGATCTCTTGTGGTCTTCAAACTAATCAACCAAATCAAGCCAATGCTCATGGCACTGAACTTGTTACTGAAGGTCCAAAACCAACCTGTGTGTTTCTGTATGTCCAGCATAATCCCCCTGACCCACAGTGACAGAACAGTGTCCCAGCCTCTTAAAATGTTCAGTCTCATCAGTACCAAGTATTCAAAATATTGGAAGGAAATGTGCATAATGAGGTTTTTAGTCCTGGTTCTGACCTGTATCGAGATCTCCAATCACATATATGCTGGCTCCGATGGGCACAGCTCCATACACAAAAGAAGAGCTAGTTGGGATACATAGGTTCTGGTCATTTAGATAAATCCACCTGTAAAAATAACAATTGAAAAACAGGATTTGATTTTTAGTGAGCACATTTAAAAAAAATAATCCTGAGTCTTTTTGCAGCTGTAATCTTTGACTCAAAAGCAGAGTGTACATATTAATTTGTTATGTAAAGGCAACATTATAGTTGGGGATAGTCCTGATTTCTCCCAGCCAGAAAAAGCAGCTAGTACTGCTGTATCCTGAAGTTGCTCAATTTCAGAATTGCTCCACTCATCTGTGTAATCTACCTATAATAAATTCTTCTTGCAGCCACACAGTGTGACCTTCTGGAAGAGAACAGGCATGTTAGACAGCCAACAACAGCTATGCCAGTCAATCTTCCCTACAGAGAAAATTTTAGGCAGCTTTGTCTTAAAAACAGTCTTTAAACTGTCTTTAAAATAAACACATATGTTTTAATGATCCATAGTAAGGGAAAAAAACAAATTGCTATAGCAGAACCTTACTATTAAGCAGTGTCTCCCCCATATAATTCTTCAACTTCTTTAATAGTGCTTTATCAGGGACAACAAATCCTTGCCTGCTATGAAGAATGCAGCACTTGGCAATGCTTAATTTCAAACAAGGGACAGAAGACTGGAAATCAAAGTGGTAATGGAATTTGGAAAAGAAATGTCCTTTATCTGGAATTGCCACAGACCTTTCCAATCTCATATCAGGCTCTTTTCAATCCCTTTCCAGCTCCTACAGTAATCCTACAGCTCCCCTGTGTTCACTGTAAGCTCAGGCTCATTTCAACAATACATCAGCCTGATCTTTCCACCAAGTGAAAAGCAGTTTTCCTTGTTAAAGCCTTTGGAAAACAGGTGGGGATGTACTCCTCATCCACATGGGATGCTGGTTTATAAAGAGGTTGCAAGAGTTATCAGCATCCTCTCTGTGGTTTTGAAACAAATTCCTACAAAATGCTCCCGCAGCTTTGCAGATGCTGTCACAGTTACCATATACAGACCCTGACATGTACAAATCAAGGACATTTTAGGGGACTGTTCCTACACTTTTTATTAAATAATTTACAGAGAACATGAAGATCTGAGAAACCTTTAAAAAACATCCCATATATTTTCATGGCCATACCAGTTTAATTTGAAGAAAAAAGTTAGAAAATGCCCTCCCAGATACTGCTGATCTTTGAAAATTCTGCATCATCTGAACACCTGATTCAGAAGTAAACCACTCTTCTGGCACTGAAGAAGATGCTGCTCCATATCAATTATCTTGGAGACAGAAATCAATTTTTAAAGGGCAAATGAAAGGATTGGCTGTCCATTATTTTGTCTGTGCTGTACATTGAAGGATTAACGTTCTGCGCAAAGCAAGGAAATGGTTTGTAGCTGTCAGAGAGGAGGACGGATGAACTAAGGAGAGAAAAGGAGAAGTTCTCTACACTGGTTCAGAAACTCTCACAGATCAAAACAACTTACACCATATTTCAGTAGCTTCCTTCCCTTACCGTAGAAGGAGGGCACAGTATTTTCATTGCTTTTTAGCAGCAAGTGACCTAGAATTCTGAAAACTGAGTAAGCAGCAGAGAAATGCAGGAAGGAAGACTGAATTTTTTTTTTTTATTTTATTTAAGTTCTAACTATAGGACCAGGTTAAGGAAGGGAAAAAGACTCAAATCAGGAGTTTATCTGCACTAGATACTCTGGGTTTTGGGGTTTAAACAGAAAAACCTAAACGCACAGGGTGAGACCCAAGCATTTTCCTACTGTGCATCACCAAAGCACAGTATCAAAGTTTCTGTAGCTGCTTGTGAAAATTAATCCTCAGGCTTTCTCAACATGTATGCTTTAAAAAACAGGCAGCACTTTTCAGGAACACTCACAGCAGCTTTAGCCGTTAAAACTAGGAAGGAACAAAGACAGGAAGGGCAAGGGGTCACGTTTCATCAGAATTTGACTAAGCTCCAGCTTAATGTGGGTTGTGCCTGCTGTTTGAACAGTATGGAAAAAACACCATGACCAAAAATTCACAATCTTCAGGAATCTGAAAACAGTCCTTGGAACAGAACGCTTGCGTACTTCCCTGGGATGGCTCCACTCAAACCGAGTCCAAGAGGAGCAGGGGGAAGGCAAGTCCTGCTGCAACCAGGGGCAGAAGTGATGGCTCTGAAACTGGAATAGGCTTCGACCAGTTTAAAAATAGAAGGGAAGGAATCCTCATTTCTTTCAGTCTTAAAGTGAGACAAACAAAATGATCCATCCACACTGCTATAGTTAACGAGTGGGATGGGGGTAACTGCTTTATTTCCAAGTGGGAAGTAAATAAAAATGTGATACACAGCCAACATATTCCAGACACGTCACCTCAAGATCACCCTAGCTGAGAAAGGAAGCTTGGAAATGAATGAAAATCCATGTTCCTCTCATCTGACAGTGCTATCAATCAGTGTTCTCGTTATATTTGCATAAGCACTTGCTTTTAATGAAATTCCTGCACACTGGAAGAATGTTGCTAATTACATATACTATGTTACAAGACTATTTAGTTCACTAGTTATATGCTGCTGAAAGCTCTTCCTTATTTCCATGATGTGCCAGTAGCAAAAAGAACATTGTAAAGGATATTTTACCAAAGTACTGCTTCTGAAAATTCTCTCTCACTTTTATCCCCCTTACTACCTGCAAATTTTCATAGTTCTTTCTTGAATCATGAGAAGAAGGAAGAAATCCTACCCCACTTACAGACCACCAGGGGAAGGCAGCAGTGGCCATACACCAGCAGATCTTGCAAAGAATCCTGAAGTCAGTTTGGGCTGTATTAAATATTTCCAACCATCCACATTGAAAAGAAAAAACCTGAGTGTGTACAGACATCATCCAATTCTCCACTCACCTTCGTGATGCAAAAAGTGTGTTATAAATTATGGACTCTGACAGAAAGTCTGACCCATCAAGGTCTTGATTATGTATTTAAGACTTCCTGCTTTTTATGGAGTAGACCAACACTGGATCAGAGTGAAGGATACCTTCACATTTCCATCTTCCATTTTCACATGCATTAAATCTGTTTTTAGCTTGGTCGATATTTAAAAAAACAGGATACAATGCACACAAAGCTCAATCTATAGCCTTTGAAAAAAAATCTACATCCTGCAAAAACCCTGCAGTCTGACATACAGCTTTTTCTGTCTTTGGGTTCACTTAAATCCACTCATGCACATGACTCTAAAGACAGCCCGACAAAACATTTATTAATTGAAAAATCTCAGTTACAGCAGCACTTCAAGTATGAGAATTATTTCCTACATTACCCTGTTCACATTTCATGTGGATGCTACTATTTTGTCTCACTTCATTTATTCTATTACTTGTTTATACAGCACAGCTTAACAGGAGTCTTAATGTTTATTTTTTTGCTAGTGTGAAGATCTCAGCAGATCCCCAGTCTCTGAAAAGTCTGCGTCATGATTAAGAATAACAATTTTGAGACTCTGCACTGTGAGCTATTTTGGAGTAAGTTATTGTCAAAGTAAATAATATTCAACAAGTCCAGTCCTTTAATCCAATTCAAGCCAGAATTATGGCAGCTTACATGAATTAATATGTTTATATACTGATGTGAGTACATCCTTAGACATTCACTCTGGAGTTAAACCTGTAACTCAAGCACTCAGGCTCTGGGTGCCTGGCATGATGCTCGAGCCTGTGCTCTGGCATTGAGGCACACATGGACATTTGTGCAGATGACACAGGTGTGCAGTGCTGCACGTACCCCAGAACCAGCACCATCCCACAGCTGAACTCACAGTCCAGAGAGTTCTCTGCATCCACAGAGAAAGTGAACATAATGGAGTTCTCCACTTACTTAAAAACAGCTGGAAAAGCCCACAGCTCATTACAAAGTATGCAACATTGACAAGTAACTTTTTAAAAAGTCACTGTGCATTTTGGTTTGAGACTGCTAGAATTGATCTTCTACACAGATCTCAGGGTAGTGAAACCTGGGATAACTGACAGACCCTGGAGGTGAGTGCTGGAACATAACACAGAGACACTGCACCCTCTTCTGGCTACGGCACCCTGGGCTGAGCTGGGGCCTTCCAAATCCTGGGAGCACCATCTCCAGGCAGCAGCTGCCACCATCCCAGCCTTCCCTGGTCCCCAATCTCCACAGAAACACCCCAAACCTGTTTCCTGCCTGCAGGTTCACGCTGAGTTAAATTTCTGAGCTCGGACTGGGCAGTGGCAGAGCAGAAAGGCAAAGTCTGGTATCTCAGCTGCCCTCCCCACGTGTCTCCTCCATCAGCTCCATCAGTCAGCTCTGCTGCCTCCCCTGCCCCGTGCCAGCACAGCCCTCACACCACACAGCCAGCACCTGCAGCTGCAGTTTTATCACTGTTCCACTGGGATCCTGCAAGGCCTGGGGGATGCCACCAAGCAAAGACACAAAGCCATGCCAGGTGTGGGTGCTGCAGTCAGCAGGTGGCACCACGGCCTCACCTGCAGCACCCAGCTCCCCACACTCCACTTCATGGAAGCTCAGCCTGCATCTACCAGTGAAACAGCTTTGCAGCCACTGCTGAGGAATCATGAGCTACAACCTTCTGAAGAACAGAATCAGGCTGGAAATATTTCAAGTAAATCAGCTGAAAATAGCAAGTAGGAGAGAGGGGAGCACTTCTTTCCACAGTTCTTTCCCTTTCAAAGACCTCTTGCAAAACATTAATAAACTTCTACCATTTCCCCAGCCTCCAGAAGGCTAGCAAACACTAAGGGAGCATCAGCAGCAACAGCCCCTCTGATCTGTCTGCTTCTTTTAACCAATTTAAAGAATGTTTTTCTTCAGCTTCATTTGATTATAGCTAGTTTAGACATCACTTTGAACAACAGAGAAGACCTCTTCATACAGAAATTAAAGTCTCTTTACAACCATATCTTGCAAGAAAATTATATAATGAATTTACATCTACTGTTCTATTTTTGTGTCCTTTTATACAGGTCACTGTCATAAATCAGTCTTGATCTTCTAATAAAGACATGCTAATCTCCTTCACTTGTCAACAAGCCTTGAAACATCTGACCACAAAGTCTTCCTAAAATTTAATTTATGAAAGAAGAATAATTCAATTTACAGTTATATGCAAGAAAAAAAGTCACTGGAGGAACCAAGCTTGTAAATTATGACTGGAGAACAAGGTGACTAAACAAAACATTCAATGTAAGGTAACATTTTAAATGGTTACCACATATAGTAAGGTGGATTCCACTACCAGAACCAAGAGATAAGAAATGAAGTAATTGGAAGAAAATTCAAAACAAACAGAAGGAGATGAGACATGCAGTGTGGTAAGGTGCCTGTGGGATGTCTAACATCCAGAGTGTCCTTCCTGTGGCAAAAGCCTATGTGGATGCCATCAGCTATAAATGCTTGGAACAGAAATGCATCAAATTTCTTATCTCTAGTTTAGGAATTCCCTAAGCTGCAAATCTTTGAAGACAGGATTGGACCATGAAGAAATATCCCTGTACATACATACATACATTCCTCCATAGAACCATGGCATCATTTAGGTTGGAAAAGACCTGTAATGAGCACTCAGCTGTGGGCACGAGTAGGGGTGGGGGCAGCAGGACTCTGCACTTGGAGAAATTGCAGAGTGCAGGGGAAGAGCCACAAACTCCCTGTGTGACCAAGGTGCTTCTCCTGTCCAGGGGCACTCAAGACCCACCATGGTGGCTCCAGGAATTTAGATTTGGCATGTTAGAGGGAAAAGTGGGGTGGATGGGCCTTCAGTAACAGCCAGACTGGGTGACAAAAAGTGAAATGAGCAACAGACACATGGCAAAGACCTCCTGTGGTTCAGAGTGCAGGAACAAGGGGTGAGGGAGCAGGCAGATGACTGGATGGCAAGTTATTTTCTGTGTTTAGAGCTGTAGCCAGTTACCTTTTAAACTCATCGTGATAAAATTCTGATTTGCATGTCACCATCTCACTGGCTTGGCTGTCATCACGACTCCTGACCCCACCAAATACATAAAGCTCAGAGGCAACTCCACAGGCCACTGCCCCAAATCTGAAAATCCAAACAAGGAAAAAATATTAGTGCCATGTATCAAAACCCTTTTGCATACCCCTCTGAACTTTCTTCATCTTTTACTCTTTTTATTTATTTATACACACAGATGCCTTAAATAACCAACAAGATGAGTCACGGATATTAATTGTAAGCACCTAATTCAGATCACAAAAAAAAAAACCCACAGTAAAAATATTTCTCTCTAAAAATATTCTGAAGTTACAATTGAACTATAATTTCTAGTTTTCATTTTGCATCAGGGAACTAGGGCTTGCAACATTTGCATGTTTCTACAACATTTGTATTTATTGCTTGGATGCTTGTCTTTACTCAGCCACATGTTAACGACAGCCCACCACGACTCAGAAAGACCAGGTGAGATTCATAGGCCATCTTCACAGATTCATCAGAAAAAGGACACTTTCCTCCCATCAGAGGGCTGGAAAAGCAGTCTAGTCCCCCCACTTCCATTTTCCCTCACCTCCTCTCTTTGAGAGGACAGATTGCTGTCCACTGCTGAGTCCTGGGGTCATAACACTCCACAGATTCAAAGAGTTTTCCATAGGAGCCTCCACCCATTGCATAGATTTTCTTCTTCATAGCTGCATAGCAGCCAATCTTGTGGGAAAAAAAAAGAAAATTATATCTGAAATGACACACAAATGCACAGTATTGAGAGCTCAAAGCTGTCTATACACACACAGAGGCATTTGAGTTGCCTATACCCCATGTCAAACAATGCAAGGCATAAAAATGCTCAGCCAGTTTTATTTGGTGTATAAAGAGAGAAGAAGCTGCTCACTCTCATTTCATTTTGAGACTATTTGCTACAGCCTCTACTTGAAGCAAAAGCTTAAAATACATATTTTTATACATCTAGATATATATGCACATACGTATATCTGCACTGACTATTTAACAAAAAGCAACACAATAATATAAGATGTAGTTTTTACCTTTCTAACCATGGTCAAGTCTGGCTGCTTGGTCCAGGTCCGGCTATAAATATCATAGCTCTCCATAGAGATCAGCTCCCTTTCACCATCCTCACCTCCCAGAATATACAGAATCCCATCAATCTCTACCACTCCAAAATTATGTCGTGCCTAAGGAACATCAATAAAGTCAACATTGAAAAACATGACTGCCATTGTGAATAAATGAACACAATCTTATTTTTCAGAGTATCTGTCTGCAAAGTGCTATTGGTATTATGCCTGGCTTTTGTTTTGTCTTATTTTTTTTTAAATGGTGAAGTCCTAAACTTCATAAGCATAAGATTATTAATTTAATCAACTAAACAAAACAAAGGGTATCAAAAGGGAAAAATAAAAAAAAAGCAGAGTAGCAGAAGCCAAAGAGACCACAGAAAAATCTAAGAGCAGAGCTTGGCCATATTTCAGTTCCCATAGTGGTGGTCTCCACAATGAAGCTGTTGCTTTCACGTCTCTTTAGCAGCAAAGCCTGGACCCATTCTCTGTGCAAAGGCAGCTCTTCTGTTTTGTATGTATGAGCCCAGCTACCCTTCAGTCTCACAGCAAACATATCACAGGCATAGCATTTAATGCATCATAACTAAAATTGCAGTCAAATCTACATGCCTCTGTCAACCAGAGATTGCAAAGAGGAAAATCCTGTGGTAAACAAGTTCTTAATAAACACCCTGTGCTGATTTACAAAGATAAAAACACAGGTGTATTAAGGATATATGTTTACAAATAACAAACTGTTACTTTTTGATGGAATGTAATTATGAAGAAGGAAGCATTAACTCAAACCAAACCTAAATATGTCTGTGCAAGCCAAGTTCTGTATGTTGGCCAGTCCTCTGTCCATCTTTTCTGCACAGTCCGATCCCTTTGTCCATCTGAGAGGTCTCTTGTTTTAGAAGGCCAGTATACGCAGAACATTAAGTATACTATAGGACTGATTCATTATGAAATTCCTGAAATTTTGTAGTTCATCTTACAGTTAGCTCTTCACCAATTGTTTAGTTTTTCCAGATCCAGCAGTCAGCATCAGACCACAAGAACAACAGGATATAAACAGAAGTCAGTCTGTAGCATGATTTTGAATGTGTAAGATGCAAGCGACTGGAGATTCAGAATAAAATTTTGCAGAAGAAAAGGAACATTTTGCCAAAGTAAAAACTTAAATCCCAACAGTTAGATAGAGATCTTGCCTCATGCATTGGTGGTAAGGAACTCCATGAATTGGTGTCTGGATCATATTTCTCTCCAGAGCTTAGCGTTCCCTTGTTTTCATCCTGACCACCAAGCACAAATAAAAATCCTTCTGTAAAACAAAATGTAATATGATCTTAAGAACAGGACTCTCAAGAAGAGGACTCACATCTGCACGCTGAGCAAAACAACATGACTGGTGAGCTGCATTCTGGAATTCACCAAGAGATCCAGACCAGTCACAGGTCAGACTCTGGACTGGAGAAGGTAAAACACATACTTACATCTGACTCAAGTCTGCCCCTGCAGATACCCTTCAACATATTCAGTGATGCAGCAAATAGAATTTACTTAAAACATTAAATACTCCTGGAGAGACAGAGGTAGCAGATTCCCACAAAATGTTGCAGGAATAGTGATTTTAAGACACTCAGATGACAGGGATTTTCACAGAATCAAGTACAGTTTTGGGCAGACAAAGGGGAAGCATGAAATAACCCAGTGCAGTCAGTCTTGAGGAAAATATATTATTATAAGCTGTATCTCAGATTTTGAGGCACTGGTAAGTTTTCATAACATTGACTTTACAAAGATGAAGTTCCCCTTTACCTGCTGACAATACTCCATGATTGATCCTTGGAATACTCATAGGAGCAAGTTCAATCCAGAGCTGTCTATTGGGATCGTAAAGAGGACACATACACCGCATCACTGAGGTTGGTTTCCGTGATCTGAACACAGGGAGGGGAGGGAACAGACAGAAACAGAGAGACAAAGACAGAGTTTTACGAGTTCACTGTTAACACCTCGTGTCCAAAGCTGGCTTGTTCTTGTTTTTGTGTCTATTCATCACGTGGCATTTCCCTGGTAAGGAGAAGATCCCCAAACCAAACATGTAAATTGAGTTTGTACAGACTTGGAGACATAAAAAGCTGATTCACTTCATTCCTACTGTATCTGCCTATTACCTTTTTTATGAACTTTGAACGAGCTAAGAAGAACTGATGGAGAGTATTAGTAATGTCTGAGTAAAGTGATTCACAAACTGACATGCAAAATGTTATCTGGTGGTTTACTATGCTTCTATAAAGAGCTAACATCTAAATGCTTAATTTATTTAAACAGGACTGAACCCTCCCTTCTGCTGCAGGGGGTACTCAAATAAAGAACGGGATTATTGTGTGGAACAGGAATTTTCACCTTATCTCAGATGCACCAATAATGACCCTTTTATTTTGGAACCACATCTGTTATAAACAAAACAGTTTAAAGCACATGTTCATTACTCCTAAGTTTTGTTAGAGATGCTTTTCAGATCATCAGAAATTATTCTGTGTTTAAGACTATTCAGTTTAGAAAAAAAAAAATCGAGCCAACACTTACTGAACAAACAACACTACTCAAAGTTTACTACATGTTGAATGTCAGAAACAAAATAACTATTTATTGCTGAATCACCCCCAAAGGTATTTTAGGCATGTCTGACCAACCTAAAACAAACTCAAATGATAGAGTAACAAGCAATAGGTGCACACATTCTCTGTACTCTGTGTTTTCAGAGTGGTGAGTGCCGGCACCGGGACCAGCTGTCGTTCCACTGCACACTTACACTCTCTCTTCCCCCCCAACTGTCACGATGCACTCGGAGTAGCCCCGGGGCTTGAAGGAGGCCAGCATGGCCTCTCCCTGCTGCGGGGGTGTCAGGGGGATGTTGTTGCACTCCTTGACGATCTCGCGCACCAGCGGCTCGCTCATCATCTGCTCGCGCAGGTACGCCGCGTCCAGCCCCGACACCCACACTGCCGACATCACATCCTTCATGTGGACCTGGGGAGGCAGCACGGACACAAAATCACCCCCAGCACGCAGCCACCCGCACATGCAGATGCTTCTGTGCTTAGCAAATACTTGAGAGTTTTTGATACTGGCAAGGAATAAACTATACAAGAGAGTGTTAGTAAGAAAATGCATCAAGTCCTCGAAGTTTCTCTATAAACATGCTACTTGCTCTCCAATCATCTAAACAAGATTATATCATCAAATGTCAAAATGGTGCTTTTTTTTCTTAATGCCTATTAAATAATGAAGGCAGTAGATAATATACCATCCACACAGCTTTCACCCTTTTACTGCAATGCTGTGGTCTGCATTTCAGGCAAAATTCAATAAATTCTATAAGATTAGTCCTGAAAGAAACAGATCTATTTCAAGTTCCCACTGATTAGAATGAACACTCCAATTTGTGACATGTTCAAAATACAAACATTTGGATGTCCTGACCTTTCTGGATTCTGAATCATGAGAAATCCACCTAATCACCGCTTCAAAGACGTATCTTTCGTTTCCAACATTGAGCTTTTCCATGGACAGCACTTCTTTCAGTTTTTGAGGAGTCAGTTCCAAGAATTCCTCTGTGCTGCTGACATCTCGAAAGTGAGTTTCCAGATACTCTGAGGCAAGGTAGTGAACATGATGCAAACAATAGTGCAGTGCAAAGTCCCGAATACCAATACAGTTCTCAGCAGCTATGCAACCTTCTAAAAACTCACAGCAGAGAGTTTTTAAGTCTGTAAGCAGCAGGAGATCAGCTGCCTGTACCACATCTTGGATAGTTTCTTCATTTAGCCTGATCTGCAAGAATTAATTTAGAAGTTATAGCTACTATCACTCATTTGTTCCATGACATGCCCGCATTCATTACACTCATTCTCAGTGGCTGAAAAATGGAGTATTAATGCCAGTGTAAGAATCAGGAGAAACTGATATGACTGCTAACCATTAATTAATTAACGCAGGGTTGGAAAGGCATTTGCTTGACAGAAGGTGTGGAGCAGAAATTTTGATAAATTCATGAAGTAACCAACCATAAAATTGCTCATCTCATCCGGGAACCTAAAATGGGTTTTGCTGTAATAAATAAATAATTTTTTTTAAACACACATGCAGGAATGAATTTCAAGCCAAATCTTCCTTTTCTTTTTCTGCTGAAAGCTAAACTTGTTCACCAATCTTATTCTGGTTCCAAATAAACTGGACACACCAACTTTAATTCCTGCTAAGGCTCCTGGCAGGCAGATCTGACAAGAGGCCAGAGAGGTGGGCACAAGGGAGAGGGAGGGAAGGTGCCTGGTGTGCTGTAATCCTCAGTGATGGGGCCTCCATCTCTGTGGCTACCAAAGCAGTCCTCTGTCACAGGTGACAAACACTGCCTGTTTTAAAGCAGGTTACTGAAGGTAGCCACCAATTTTAATACAAGGGTTTGACATTGACTCTAAATTTTAAAGTCCTCGCCTGCTACACAAGAACAGGAGACAACTCCTGCAGAGCCTACTGCTCTACTTCACATGCACAGTCCCACTCTGCAGAAGCTCTATGACAAAGTTTTAAACATCTTTCAGGACAGCAGTGTTAAAACTCAAGTTATTTTGCCAAATAGTCAAGTGAGGTTTAGGGGTTTTTAATACCATACCTGCCCACTGAAGATGTAGTCTAGTATCTCTTTCATGATATCAACAGATATCCCTTCGAGTTCAATCTTGTATGTTGAACCATCATCCTTTGGAGGATTGTAATTCAATTTTGTTCTAAGAGAAGAGAAAAGGAAAAGAGCAAAGTTCAAAATCTGGGCACTGGTTGCTGTAAGTTTCTGAAGAATCTGAGATCTCAGAATATGGATGTCCTGAGCTGCAACAGAGATGTTAAAACCTTTCAATGTGATGGAAAAACTGTCCCTTGAATTAGCACGTAGGTATGACCTCTGATACTGCTCATCACATTTCCAAACTGAACAAATCTGTCAGCCTTGCAAACTACCCAGGCCATCAAAGAGCCAATGTTTTATCCCAGCTCATTCATCACAAGCATTCAAAAACTTCATTCAGACTTTCCAACAGAACAGCAGCTCTGCTGACAGATGAAACACAAGAATTTGCTTTGATAAAGGTGGAAAAAAATCCAAAGCAAAACAAAACCAAAACTTTTTTTACCAAGGAAGAAATAATTAGAGTTAGCAGATGTGATCAGAATATTTACTGGCAGCACAAACATTTGGATTGCATTACCATTTTGTGTAGTTTATGATGTTATCAGCCTAATGCTGTGCCTGGCTGTAACCAAGCCATGCACTCACAGTTGCAGGGAACAGCCCATGTGCTGCTCGGCAGAGCTTTAAATATTCATCTACATCAGTGGACATTTCACTTACAAGCCATTTCTTTAAACATACCAGGAGCACTGTGATGTGCCTGTGAATAGCATGGTGGAGACTAGGGGGAAAGGTGAGGAAGTAATAATAGCACAGCAGACACTTTGCTTTCCACCAGCTGTCAGTGCAAACACTTCTTCCAGGAGAGACAACTTTAAGTGTTCAAAAGGGAGCAGCATCCACCAATTTGGTGCAAACAGCCACAAGAGCTAATAAAAGATCAGTTTCTAACATATTTTTCCACATTTTGGTCAATGAAGAATACATTATATAAAGAAAAGAAAGTTTGTTTCTCTACTTCTGTGTATATATAGTGGCCTACATCTACCACAGCACACTAAAATAAAAGCTTTTAAAACTTTCTAACATTCATTTGAATATATCCTTAGATAGAATCAGTTGCTTAATGTGAAAAGCTGTGGCTTTGCTAAGCTGAAAGTGTCCAGCCTCCTGCTATCCACACTCATGCTAAGCAAATACATAAATAGGTCTTAGCTAAGGGCAGATTCTACCTCACTTACTCATATCGGAATAAATTAAGTTTCTCACAAATTAAGCTGTAACTCACATCAAATAAAACCTCAGTCTGTAAGGAGCTATTTTTAAGTGTGAATAAGGGCAGTAATTTTAGCCCTCTAGTTCATCATGCTTGTGGTCCTGTCTTCACATTCCTTTTCTACTCTGCAGAACACCCCGAGATAGCGGTGCCCATGCAGCAGGGCTGGAGCTGCTTCATCCTGGCTGTACAGCACCTGGCACAAGTTACAATACAAATAACAACAACAACAACAACAACGTGGTGTGGGTTAGGAAATTGTTTCTTTCCTAACACCTGGAAGGAGATTAGGAAAGTTATGTGACTCCCATTAAAGCGTATGCTGCAAGAGCAGGCACTGATGTACAGCCTGTCAGCTGAAAATTCCTGCCCCAAATGTACATTTCCAGCAGAACACACAACGTGTACCTCAACCCGAGCCATCCTTGCCCATGTGCAGTGTGCATTTTCTATGTCTACAAACTCCAAACGAGCTACAGAGCATATACACACAGGGCAACATGCCTTTACACTTCTAACAGAGCAAAGGCTTCTTTACACACATTTTCAAATCTATCCAAACTACCTCCACTTGAGTTCTGGGATTCTTGCTTTGCAACAAAAGGCACTTCTGGATTCCTAGGATGAAACTGTGTTTTCTTTTAATTTAACATAAAATGTATCAAGGTTCACAAGGTTTCTGCTTCCTTCAGCAGAAAAAAGCAGTTGGGTGATCCCTGATCTCACGTGAGTCAGGTACCTGTAAGTAGCTGTCATGATCAAATACACAGCAGGATCTACACAGAACCTGGGGTGTCCAACATATTGAGGGGCTTAAAACAGGTCCAAGGCATATAATAAGCATGTTGATGCCAGCACTAATGGGGAGATTAGGGAAAGGACTCATGCTATTTATCACTAACTTTCATCTTAGCATCACCTGTACACACCCAAGCTAAATCACCTTATTGCATGGACTTTACACTGACTCCTCCTGGTAACAAGAAACTGTTGTTCAGAGTTTTTGGGTCTTATCAGGGTAGATGCTCTAACTGCTGTGTACTTCTTCAGGCATCAACAGTTCATGAGCTGAAAAGAAATGACCTAGGCCCTAACGCAAGGGAAAAACATGAAGCCAAAGTAGAAAAATAACCTTGAGAACAAATCAAATTACTTCAAAGTTACAGACACTTGTATCTAGGCAAACTTCACCTTATGCAAATGCTTCCTAGTTCAGATTAAATTTTGTTCGTATCATCTGTCATGGGAAGCAATAGTGATGCATCTGTCACATGATTTTAATTTGTTGGTTAATAAAATATAAGGTTATTTATTTCAGTACAAGTACTTCTGAGCTATGCCAAGAGAGCAATTCCCAAAGACAGCTGGATGTACTCCTTGTCACTTACATCAAAACTGCAGGACAGCTACTGGCTGTTGGAAGAGGGGAGGAAAAATATCATGCAAGGACATATTATAACCAGGTTTGGGGCTGGAAAAGTTTAAGAAAAAAAAATAATGAGTCCAAATGAAAAGAAAGCTGAAGGAGGAGAGAAAAGCAGGAGGTGTGCAAGCAGAGGGCAAGGAGCCACATCTCCTCTTGCATCACCCAGCACCAGCTGTGACCTGCACCCACACCTCACCCGCAAACTGAGGCCTGGGCATCCCTGTCATAACACCAGAGACAGAACGAGAAAGTTTCCAAACATATTTGTTCCCAGTTCAGAAAGACAATGGGCAGCACATGGAGAAATACTTAACCCTTGTGCTCTCTCAAATTTCCCTTTAGAAAGTAAGTTACCAGCTATGCTTAAGCAGAGGCTTTCCAATCTGTCAGCATCCCAGAAGGAGGATGTCTTCCTTCTGCCACGCTCCTCCTCAGGGTGATTTATTCAGCCTGTGAGAGCTGGAAGTGGCAACCAGCAGCCCAAGGTGCAGAGATGGGCCAGCTGCAGCACAGCTGCTTCTAACACAGGCATGTGACAGCTTCCTACTGCGGACAACATTTCTAATTACTTTAAAAGCACTCCAAGCTGCCAAACCACAGCTGAAAAGGCTGCTTCAGTCTTCCTTAATTCAGATGGAAGACCAGAACATCGACATCTAGAAGGAAATAACCCTCCCAGACAACCAAAAGCCCCATGAGTTGGGAGCAGAGCACAGGCAAGACAGAGCTGGAGGAAATGAAACAAGGCAACTTCTTCATCCTGTTTTCTCAAGTAATTTAATTTTGAGCAACTTGACTCCATACACATTTTAAAATAATAATTTCCATTTTTTAATTAGGATCATGATTGTAAGTTGAAATTGCTTCCAGTAATATAAAACTGTTCTCAACATCCATCCCAGCATCTTGTGCCTCGTCAGGAGAACTGCTGGCACACACAACACCTTGAGCCAGTGGCATAAGAACAAATGGGTTGATGTTGTGTTTTGATGTTGTCTGTGTGACAAATTTAGAATCTGCTGTTCCACATCACTTAAGGAATACAATCCTAATGAGTCATCTGAAACGCTCTACATGAGGCAGAATGAGGATAAAAATTCCAGTACCTCTTCTGTATAGGGAAGCAGTATAAGCAAGGTGAATCCTCAAAATGCAAACACAGGCCGAAGAACTGATGTTGATACTGCTAGGAACAACAATTTACCACTAATGACATAAAACAGATTCAAATAATAATAATAATAATAAAAAAAAACCAAACCACAAGCAAAAAGCAAAACAACAGGTAAATTAAGACTGTCCACAGTTGTTGTTAAAATTAGGATGGAACTTCCAACTTACTGTTATTTTAAAAGAGCAAAACAAATCAAAGCACACCCAATACTTCTGACCTTACAGCCAATACCTGTGAAATCACTGTTGCGGGACAGTTAAGATTTATAAGAAGCAGATTGAAAAACAAAAATCCATGTGCCTGAAAACTTGGTTTTCTTACTTTTTACAGTTGAAACTTTATAGGAGGGGAATAATCTCTTTTAAATAATTAACTAGACAAAACAACAAACAAAATGAAAATTCAAATTAAGAACTTGGCCATCACCACCACCACTTGCTTTCCTGAGTCAGACATAATTTTGTGGGAATATTTTCATCTTTGAAATCTCTGCCTTATCTGTAAACTACTAAGAAAAGACAACTGATGTATTTTTGTAATGGTCACATAAGTTATACAGAGAACAAGAGCACAACTCTTGGAAAGCTTTAGTCCTCGGAGTGCTGGTATATTGCGACCTAAACAAATAAAGAAAACACCTGTCTGCAAAGACTGTGCCTACCAGAATGCTCCAGACCACATTCACCACAAGCAGGTTGTTGATATTTACAGTGAACAGCCATCAAAAAATCTGGGAAACAAGAGACAGACGCTTTGGGTTTGATGCTTTGCAACACAAAACTTTTACCTGCTCTCACGTCACCACGGTGCAAACGCAGTTCACTGACCTATTTACACTGCAGGGTGTCAGGAACCAGACAAGAGGGAGACACTTGTCTTTTGGAAAGGAGCTGTCTTCCCAAATTAATGATTTTGCTCCAGATTAGCCATTAAGGGCTGGTCTAAACATGCTTTGCCAGTATTGCCACACTAGCAAACTTTAATATTTGAGTAGCAAAGCTGTCCTTCGAAACCGAAGGGCAATAAAATTGGGGTTTGATGATTTATTCTTTACCTGCACCAGTGTTTTGGCCTTCTCCAGAGAGCATCAGCATTTTAAAATGAAGTTGGACCTCCAACAAATTGTTCTAGCAAAGACATGCAGCAAACCTAAAACATGCTCACAAGGATGACTCAGTCCCAAAAATGACAAGTGAGTACTTGGAGATTTTGCATCACTAACGA